ACAGCTGTAAACAAATCAGACAAAAACCTTTGTCTGCACAGGGTTCTGTTAGCTATTTTCATGATTATATCATATTGAATTAAGTATAAAGGGAGTCAATACCTTAATTAGGCAATGGCTGTGGGCTTGAAAAATCCGGATACACTGTAGTCTTCCGGAAAAATCCATGTCACTGTAGTCTTCAGGCTAGTGAAAGCTCTGTATGGCACTTTCTTTAAAGAGGACAGTTAAAGGAACTGCAACCTGAATCTAGAACACACAAAGGAAGTCTAAACAAATAGAATCAGCCCAAGAAAGAATTCTCATTGTTTTTTGTGTCCTCCAGGTGATAGAGGCAGAGCCACCAGGAAGGAAGAGACTTGCCCACGGGTCTCACAGGGCTCTTTGGGCTTTCTCAACTCACTTGAGTCAGTGATTGCCATGAGTTTTCTGGGCTGGGGAGGACAGATTGCACCCTTCAGCTGGCCATGGGGCCTCCTCCACTCTAGAGCCCGCAGACTTTGGGCAGCGTTTCCCTGCCCCTATCCAACTCCTATGATGCCGAAACTTCTACAGAGGGCCCGGATAGCAAGCAATGGAAGTAAATGGTAATGCCAGGAAGGTAGCTTGGTTTAATAGCTTTAAAGGTGAGAGTAAACCCAATGGCACAATCTGTGGCATCAGAGATGAACTTCAGCCTTACAGATCAGGCGCCAACAAGAACTGATGAAGGGAGGCTTTCGCCACAGAATTGTCCTGCAACATGAGAAGAGTCTTCATTCAGAATAAAAAAAAAAAAAAATGGCACCTCACAAGTGACTTAAGGAGAGCCGAGCATGTCATGATAGTTCAGGATTGTCTGAATTCAGCTTCTTAGCTTTTGTCTTATTGGCATTTTGAGCCAGAATGTTTTATGTGTTCATGCTGTTCTTTGATTTTTTAAAAACGTTCTGTTCTCTACAAATAATATTCTCTCCAGTTGTAACAGCTAAAGATACTTCTAAAATATTGCCAAATGTCTCTAGCTGGGTGGGCAAAGTTACTTCTAGGTGAGACCTACAGAAACATGGTTACATTTCTGTATGTTGTTGGGTTTAAAAAGATTTTTTTTTGATCAAATCCATGCCCACTCCCTGCCCTCGAACTCCTCCCATATCTCCCATCACTTTTTTTCTGATAACTTCATGTACTCTTTCTTCTTCTTTGATTTATTTTTATGGGGCTTTTTGTGATCAAAACACCTTATATGCATGTATGAAATTCTCAATAAGTTATTTATTAAAAAAATAGGAAGAAGAAGAAAAACAAAAAAAGAAAAAGAATTATTTTTTGAGCTAGGGTCTCGCTGTAGCCCCAGATGGGCAGGAACTTACTATGTAGTCCAGACTGGCCTCGATCTCACAGAAATCTGCCTGCCTCTGCCTCTTGAGTGCTGGGATTAAAAGTGTGCACCACTATGCCCAGCTTGTTGTGTTTTTAAAAGACAGGTCAACCTTTTAAATACTGAAATTACAAATATGTGGTACTACACCTGGCTTTTTTTCTGTGTCTTATAGATGTATCGTTTCTCTCCCCATGGCTGTCTCTTGGTGTCTTTCTTCCTAGTCTACTGAAGTAGGTAAAGGCTGCTTGTACACCTAATCAAGCAGTGTCCTGCTTGAGGTAACTGGGGGAGGCAGCAATATGTCTAAATTTTACTCCTAGTGGGGTCCAGACCCAGGCAGTCTGGCTTTATAAGAAGCCGTTGCAGCAGATGAAATGCCTTGCAGCCTTCAGCAGGCTCAGACTCCGTTCTTTGCCACTTTAGAGCTGACTCTAAAAATTAGAAAAACAAAGTGTGACTTTTATAGATGACTCAATGCCAGACACATTGTAACCAGACCTTGTTAGGTCCACTTAGCATGGATTTCCATTTAATGTGAAAATCTACTCACCAATGAGCCTGTCTTCTAAAGAATACATTTCTAGGGAACTGTGGTGACAAGACTCTACATCCAAGGGGGAAAAACTGAGCAATATATGCAATTTTTCTGGAAGCAGCAGGGTGCAGACACATAGTCTGCAGGCCGATACATGGAAAGGGTGTTACTTTTAGACAGAAAAGTACAATCACATTCCTGGTAATAGGCTGGAGGTGGAGTCTAGGGAAGGATGGCAGAGTGGGTACTCATTGCTTGCTCTCATAATATAGGTAGAGTCTTTCTGGAAAGTACAGCTTTTCCTCAGACCCATTGATTAGGCCATCGGCCTCATTGCGTGAAACTACCAGGGAAAGCCACAGCATCAGTGCTGGCAGCTCTAGCCGGCCACAATAGCCCTCCTTCCAGAAGCGGAGGACACTGGAGCCTCTGAGTTTTCTTTATGTGTTCTTTTGTTCTTCATGAAATCTTCTTTTCCTTTCTTGATTTCTATGAGGCCTATCACCATCACCACCACCACCACCACCACCACCACCACCACCACCACCACCACCACATCATCATCATCATCATCATCATCATCACCATTACTATCATTATCACCATACCACCACCACCACCACCACCATCATCATCATTGTCGTCATCATTTTTTCCCTTTTAGACCCTACTCACCCTTGGGATTCTGTGATATCCACCCCATCTCTCTTCCTTTGACCCCATGGCTTTATTCTGTAGGTGAAGATATCACCTAGGTTCTACCCTAGTCTTCCTTTTCTTTCTCTAGGTGTCCCCAGAGTAGGCTCAGTCAGACCACCAGTTTCAATTCTTACCTCTTCTGAACTTACACCAGTTTTACAGTGGTCTCCTAGTGATCACCCCTGAACTCAACATGCTACAAGTAGAATTCTCTTTCACCAGAAAACCCTCAGCAGTTACTTTATTATTTGCCCTTAGTTTCTCATGCTCAAAGCTTTGACAGCATCGATTCAAGTTTGATTGTCCCTCTCCTCACTATTCATCATGGAATTGGTTCTAAAGTTCTAATTTTTTCCTATTCCTTTTTTTCATTTTCTGACATTATCTTGGTTCAATCCTTAACTTCTTTCTTTTTTATATTTATTATTTTAATGTTATGTGTATGAGTGTATGGTCTGCATGTATGTAAGTGAATCCCTGTTGTGCAATGCCCACAGAGGTCAGAAGAGGGTGTCGGATCCCCTGGAAATGGAGTTATGGATGGTTGTTAGCCGCCATGTGGGTGCTGGGAACAGAACCTGGGTCCTCTGCAAGAGACAAATGCTGGTGAGAATGTTAGGAAAGGGGAACATTGCTGGTGGGAGTACAAACTGGTGCAGCCGCTACGGAAATCAGTGTGGAGATTCCTCACAAAGCTCGAAACTGATCATAATATGGCCCAAACATATCACTCTTGGGCATATACCTAAAAGACTGCATACCCTACAACAGAAATACCTGTTCATCCATGTTCATTGCTGCCTTTTTTGTAATAGCCAGAATTGGAAACAACATAGATATCCATCAACTGATAGTGAAGGCGTGATACACAGTGGAATATTATTCAGCTCTTAAAAAAGGACAAAATTATGAGATTCTCAGTAAACTAGAAACAATCATCCTGAGTGAGATAACCCAGACTCAGAAAGACAAATGCCACATGTTCTCTCTCACAGCTTGCATGCTGGGAACAGAACCTGGGTCCTCTGCAAGAAAAGCCAGTGCTCCTAACCACTGAGCCAATTCTCCAGCCTCTCATCTTTAATTTCTTTTTGCTCGTGAGTTCATCTTGAAATATTCTCCCCTTAATCCATTTTTGACATGGTGTTCTTATATCATTAAGTTGTAGCTCTAATTTATTTGTTTGAATAATCAACTTTGTATTAATAAAGTTCAAAATTTTTTGACCGAAAATTTAAATTTCTGTAATTTGATCTCAAACGATCTTTTTATTTCTTTCTCTTGTGAAACCCCATTACATATCCAGTTTTTGAATTGCGATGGTTGACTTCCTATTACAATCTATCTTTTCCTACCTCCATCCTTCAATATCTATCCTGGAGGATGACTCTTGCAGCATAACAGTTACACTCCAAACCTCCAGCTCTAATTGTTTGCAGCTATAAGCAGTCTCTCATGCCCCTAGCTGGGGAGGGCAGTGAGTTTCTAGTGTTCCATATTGATTTGGGGGGCAGATAGTTCTATAATTGAGCTAAGGTCCAATCTTTTATTTGTGGATGGGTAACTGAGATCCAGAGCTAGAAAAGAAATTTCCCCAAATCCCAGGATGAATTCATTGCAGAGTTTCAGTGTAATGCACCAATGCATATGTCCCCTATGTAAGTAAGGGCACTTTCAGGACAGGATGTATAGCTTATTAATCATTTCTGCACCCTTTTTCTCCTATTATCTAATACGAAGTTAGTGTTTGTCAAATGTTTGTTGAATTGGATGGGCTATAACTTGACAAGAAGGGAAATGTGAAGGAACTGAGGCTTCTGTGGACATGAGATTGCCTAGACTGGCAGGGAATGGCTGTGGGTGCACTCCATAGTTTATAACCAATGATCATGTTAACTCTAGCAGGGGAAGGTGTTTGGTGATAAAGGGAACTGACATTCAGATATGCTAGATGTTAGTTCAGGCTCCTCCTGGTATGGGCTTTTAGGAGTGCCCACCTCTGGTTCTCTTTCTCCAATGCCATGGAAAAGAAAAAGAAAGATGCAATTCAAAGCCTGTGGTATCTTGTACAACAACAAAAATTGACTCAAAAGCATAGCTTTTAAAGCCAATATATGAGTGAAAATTTAATCGGCGGAAAGAACAGTAGGGACAAACTGACGAAGTGGGACGGGGCCCTGATCTTTTAAGGAGACAGCTTCACTTATTTTATTCTTATGAATTAAGAAACAGACAGTAATTAACTTAGGATTATACAGAGCAAAAAGAGGTAATTTTGCATGAGAATAGAGGCTGGAGATGGAGATAGCCTTCCTGCAACCATGAGTTTCTGGGATAGCCACACTTGAACTGAGACTCAGATGGCTGCTACTGCGCTCTACATGTGAGAAGAAAAACCTCAAGTTAAAATTGAAATAACTTTAATGACCCCCCCTTTGGGAAAGGATGAAAGTCTTTCAGACTAGAAGATACCAGATAAGGAAAGTTAAATTGGGTTAGGAGGAAGAAATGGAGCTGGACTCCCAGCCAGTCTAGTAGAACAGTGTAAACCCTGTTCTTCAAACTTACATCTGGTTATACGTCAGGGGTTCTCAACTTTTGTGTTTTAAACTTGAGGTGAGATTATTTGTCATGGTTGGGGGTTAGCCTGTGCTTTGTAGGTTTCTTAGCAGCACTCACGGCCCCTATCCCCTAGGTGCCTATGTCTCCTCTAATTGTTACAAACAAAAGTGTTTCCCAATATCTTTCCCTGGGTGGCAGTATTATCGCTGGTTGATAACTACTGCACTATACACCACAGCTTGCTGAATCTTGCTAGAGCAGCTGAAAAGCAGATGGTGAAGAAAACATCAAGTCACAGAGTTTCAATCACAGGCAAAGTTTAAAAAATTTATAATGAATGTATATATATATATTTTTTCCAGTGGCTATTTGCATGCTGAGCCATATACTACACTGAGAAGAGAATTGGACCTCCCTGCTCCCACTGTCTGCTTCTGCCCTGGTGGGATGGCAGCAGTTTCTTAACTCTGTAGGAAGGTTTCATTACCAGTCTGGATGTGTTTGTAGATCCAGGGAAGCACTTTACTAAGATCTGTGAAGATCCCTGGGGTCCCTTGTTCCTTTCTCAGCCCATTCTTTATCCAGCCTCGACCACAGCCCAAACCCCAGGAAGTCACACCAGCCAGAGTCCAGGCCCCTTTCTTATTTCGGCACATGAGTGATCCTCCTGAATCTCCCTACAAAAGAAAGAATGCTTTGTTAACATCATTGTTGCTGTTGGTGACTTGAAATACTCAGTCCTTCCCCACTAGGATGCTGGATGAGGATCACCAATGTGTCTTCACTTCTAGTAATTTAGACTCAGCGTTCTGGAGAATAAATAGCCAGGTGCAGTTTCCTCAAATATCAGAGTCTGTCAATCGCTGCTCCTCCCCCATTGTTGACTTTCACCAAAGCATCAGAACACCTGCTGTTTCCTGTTCATATCACAGACTCAGAGATTCCTTGCCTAGTGATAAACCTGACTTCAGGGAGCTGGAGCGTTGGCTCAGAGCAATAAAGAGCACTGACCACTCTTGTAGAGGACCTGGATTCGATGTTCAATACCTACATGGTGACTAGCAACTGTCTGTAACTTCAGTTCCAGGGATCAGATACCCTCTTCTGACCTTTGCCAGTATCTCACAACATGAGCGGCCTTACATACCTGCAGGCGATACACTCATACGTATAAAATAAAAAATAATAAAATAAACAACCACAACAAAACTGTCTTCAGTCTTCATCAACATGGAAAATGGGGACAGTGCAAAAGATTATAGTTATATCAGTGTTTTTAGGCCTCTCACCTGCTAACAAACCTGTCTGGACTGGTCAGTTCAGCTGTTCTCACTTACCTGACAAGCATCTCTCCCTCCTTCAGGGAAGCCTGTGCAGAGAAAGGCTTTCCCCGTAAAGGGGTTCTTTAGGGTCAGCAGACTTGCTTCACACTCCTCCTGCGTCAGGATGGGTAAGTTCACTTCCTGTAATACTTGCGGGGTGGTGCCACCTGGAATGAAGGGATGGAAGCACTTTACTTTTCTGAGCTGAAGATGCCCCACCCTTCCATCATCAGCTGAGTGCAGGTTTGTGTCTTTTGGGAAGACCTAAATTTCTTTTTTTTAAAAATTATTTTATTTATTATTTTTATTCTATGTCTATGGGTGTTTTGCTTGTATGTATGTGTGTGCAATGCCTGCAGAGGCCAGGAGAGGGAGTCGGATCCCCTGGAACTGGAGTTACAGATGGTTGTTAGCCAACATATGGGTGCTGGGAATTGGACCCAGGTCCTCTAGAAGAACAGACAGTGTTCTTAACTGCTGAGCCATCTCTCCAGCCCCAAGACTTAAATTTCTTAAGCATATTGTGACATTCTCTGCCTTTTGAAATATTTGCCTGATTACTTAAAAACTTTTGCTAAAAATTCTCCCTTCTGATTATCCACCAGAAAGTTTTGACTCTGACTACGAGGAGTGGTGCAAGGGCTCTTACCTTCAGTCAAGCGACCCCAGCCTGCAGTTGTGCAAATAAATCCCGCCTCAAAGTGTTCTTCTGGCTCTGGAAGACACACGGGCCTTACAAACTGGCCTGAAGAAAAGATCAGGGTAGTGCTCGGTTCATTTGTGAAAGTGACCACAGGTCACCCATCAGTTGGCATCCAGGTGGTTCCCAAAGACCTTTTAAGTGTTGTAAAAGATCAGCCTGGCATCTTCAGGGATCCCTTGTCATTCTCCCTTTCCTGACTCCACATAATCCTCTATTCAGAACCATATGCAAGAGTTCAGGTAGGGGACCCTCCAGGCAAATCCTTGTCTCCCAGTATATGACCCAGAAGTGTTGGGCATGTATTACATACATGACATGAACTGCAGGGGACATTCTATGGGTCAGAGGCTATGGGGAAATAGGGTAGACATTATAGGGTGCACCTCAAATGTTTACCGAATTGGAAATTTCCAGCCATCTTCAGAAGGGCGATGTCATAGTCCATGGGTTTTCTGGTGGAGAACTGTGGGTGTATGATGATGGTTTCAATGGCGCGTATTTGCTCTTCTGGTTCAGTCTGACTTAAGTCATATTCTCCAGCAGTAACATTCAATGTTGATGCGATGTTTCTGTGAAGAAGGAGCAGGAAAGTGAGGGGATTTCAGTGATTCCTGATTGTAGTAGAACATGCAGACAAATCTGGCCTCTTCAGACTGACAGGTGGATGCTAATGTGTGAGGCTGCTGAGCAAACAAATAACAATTCCAACACTATTGGGAAAAAACAGAGACTGAGTCTCTGTTCTAGTAGTGGACTAGTGAGGAGTAGAGCCAACGATTTGATACATTTAATATTTTTCATCTTATTTGTGATCATCTATATATACATATCTATTTATCTATCTATCTATACATATATATCTATACATTGTAATTCAGGGATGGAAAAGGTTAGGGGACTTTTTTCAGCTTTTCTTTCTTCCTTCCTTCATTTCTTTCTTTCTTTCTTTCTTTCTTTCTTTCTTTTCTTTTCTTTTTTTTTGACAGGGTCTCCCTAATCCCAGCCCACCTGGAACTCACTATGTAGACCGGGTTGGCCTCCATCTCACAGAGATCCACCAGCCTCTGCCTCCCCCTCCGGAGTGCTGGGATTAAAGGCATGTGCCTCCAAACCTGGCATTAGATTGGCCCAATCTTAATACCAATGAGCTTTTTTTGGGGAATGATTTGTTATTTCTAGCAAGTATTCTGCTTCAGTGTTAAGGATCTTGTGTGATGTGTGTCTTGCGAAGGACCGCACCCTGACTCTGATGTACCAGAGAGTATACACACATACTCAATGGTTTGGGATCCATTACAACAATGGAGAGTGAGCATCTTTTCTTAACCTTTTTATCTTTGTAGTTTAGAACTCTCCCATGGCATGGAAAAGATACCATCTTCTCCGGCCAATATTATCTAGAAGAAACTTGATAGAATGAAATGAGGTAGTTTAAGAATTTTGATCTTGCCATCCTTTGGGATCCTTCATTCCCAGTGGCAATGCTTTTAGGCAGATTTGGTAAGGACATCATTTCTTTTGGAGTTATTTCCTGATTCTTGGATATATCAGGTACATAATCTAGTATATAGCATCTCTCTATCTTACCACCTACCATATTGTAGAGACACTGACAACTAACTACTTTTACTCAAGGGACAGGGTCTTCCCATGTTGCTCAGATTGGTCCCATATTCCTGGCAATCTTCCTACTTCACCTTCTCAAGTAAAAGATTACAAGTGGGCTACAAGTATGCACCAGCATGCCTAGAATACTTCTCTTTTATACCCTGGACTTTCTGGGTGAAGGTATCTTGCTTTAGTTATTTTTATGTCTTTGGCACCCACTGGCAACTGGCACCAAGCAAACATCCCAGGAGTATTTGCAGACTTGAAATGGGACAGCTGTAGGACCACAATCTTGATTACAGTCTAGTGCATGCATAGAACGTTGATAGTGGAGTATTTGGATCATACTCAAAAGTGTGGTAGTGGTGAGGTTGAGGCTCAGAGAAGCAGGACCAACAGGAAGCCATGCGAGCCCACTTTACATTTTACTGATCTGCCTTTGCTCTCTTTTATCCACTCCTTAAGATGGAAAATGAACAAGAGAATGCTTTCTAACTGAAAACTTTTATGAAAACTAGTAGAAAATTTTACTAGTCAGTATTTTAGATATTTTTTATTGGCTTCAATGATTTTAAGTAAATACAGTGTTTTGCTTCTTCAAAAATGTTTTTCCCCCAAAACATGAGGATCAGCCCACAGTGTTATCAAGCCTCATTTGTATCATGCAATTAAGATGTTCCTTTGTGCTTTCATAGAGTAATTCCTGGTGATTCCAAGAAAGATAAGGGGTAATCTGATCTTTATCCATGAACAAGCTTTCCCTACCTGTTTGCCATGCAGTGAGCAGCTGTGATCACCCACTGTGAAGAGATGATGGTTCCTCCACAGATATGCTTCCGCCTTTGTTTCAGAGACACCTAGGATTGCAGAGACCTTAAGTGGGTGATAGTTAAGGCTGTGAGATCACCCCCAAACTGGATAGCAGCATATTCTGAAAGGTAGATATAGATATCCTAACCGAAATGATCATGACTTAAGGAGCATAAAACCCATACACTAAAGCTCAGAACAAGAGCATGCCTGGTCCTGGGATGAGATGATTAGCCATAAAGCTTTCAGTGGAGTTGTAGTTGTTGGAGTTGGGATTCATTTATTACTTTTTTTAAAAATTATTTTTTTATTTATTATTTTTATTTTATGTATATACACGTATTGCCTGCATGTAGGTAAGGTCACCTGGGTCATGCAATGCCCGTGGAGGTCAGAAGAGGCTGTTGGATCCCCTGGGACTGGAGTTACAGTTGTTAGCTGCCATGTGGGTGCTGGGATTTGAACCCAGGTCTTCCACAAGAACAACCAGTGTTCTTAACTGCTGAGCCATCTCTCCAGCCCCTCATTTATTACTTTTTATAACACTGCTGACTCAGCTCTAGGACTCTAACAATATGAACAACATCTGAACGTGAAGGAAAATGAATAGGAAACGTGATTCAGAATCCAGTTGAAGTGGTGGGAAAAGGCCAGGGAGTGGTAGGGGGTCTTTCAACATATGTTCTGAGTCCTATAAGCTTCTTGGAGGACTCCAAGAAGGACTCCAATTTTCTCCTACACTTTTAAAAATATTTTTATTTTATGCGTTTGAACGTGTTGCCTGCATGTATGTTAGTGTATCTGTGTTGTGCAATGCCCACAGAATTCAGAAGAGGGCATTGGATTCCCTGGAACTAGAGTTACAGATGATTGTTAGCTGCCATGTGGGTGCTGGGAATTGAACCTGTGTCCTCTGCAAGAGCAGCCAGTGCTCTTAACCACTGAGCCATCTCTCCAGCCCCACTTTCTCCTACTCTTAATGGAATATTTGACCCTTAAAACTTCAAGCCTGATTTTTAGTTTGCCTCTCTAACACATTAAAAAATTTACATTTATTTTTTGTGTATACAATAATTGCACACACACACACACAGACAATAGTGTGCATGTGGAGGTCAAAGAACAACTCTTGAGAGTCAGTTCTCTCCTTCCACCAAGTAGGTTCCAGGGATCAAACTCAGGCTGTCAGATTTGGCAGCAAACTCCTCTACCTGTTGAATCATCTCATCGGCTTTCTCTGACATGCTTTCTGTCTTTGACTCAACTCAACCTATTCATGATACTTGATTTGATTCTAAAACAACTTATAATGTATAAATAAATACTTTCAAAGAATATCTTTACATTTTTAGAATTATAAACAAGCAATTTATTAGACTTGTTTACTTTTTAAGCAAAAAATATTTATGATCAATCAAAAAGAAAAAAAGAATTACAAAGAGATACAGATAAAATTTCCAGGAGTATATAGCTCAGGGGCACAGTGAGGCTTTAGACTTGATCCTCTGAACTGAAACACACACACACACACACACACACACACACACACACACTCACACACACATTCACACAAAGGCAGAGTACAGAGAAGAGACTGAGAAAGAACAGAGCAAAAGCGAGTAGAAAAAGTCAATGAGTCACCCTTGTCATGATTTGAATATAGACTTCTGAATTAATGAGAAGACCAAATGGTAAGTGATCAAAACCGATAAAGTGGCCACTCAACTACTCAAACAAGTAATTAATTAGCTTATCAATGACATTCTGTCAACCTATTGAACACAAATTCAATCAAACAAATATTGTTATTATTAATCTTGATTGGCTTGAGAAATGCTGCCTAGGAGGTTAGTAAAACACATCATGAGAGTGTGTGTGTGTGTGTGTGTGTGTGTGTGTGTGTGTTTTCCCAGAGAGTATTACCCAAGGGAGCCAGCATGTGATTTGGGGAGATTCAGGCCCAAGATGTCTCCATTCACCCACTGGAGAGCATTTTGTGGGACTCACCTGCCAAGGGTAGGAGCCCTTTTCCACTTGGCTTCCCCCGACAATGCGACTGAAAGAGTTAAAGTCATTCTGAGACTGGGTCCCAACCAGACTCTGACCACAGGTAGGAGCTGGGGAAAATACAAAGCAAACACTGAGTGATTAACGTCCAGGACTGAGAGACAGAAAATTCCTCTGAGCAGAACCAGAAAGTAGACCATGGAGCATGTAGGGAAACCATAACATGGCTTTAAGTGTGGGGTCAGCTGTGGTTTTCCAAAATTAGAGATTATTCAGTTATTATTACACAGATAATGTGCATCATGAAGAGATGACTTATTCTTTAAATTTCATTTGTGTGTTCATATATGTGTGGGTGCATATGCATGTGTGTGCATATAGAGGCCAGCGGTCAACCCTGAATATCTTCCTTAGTCTTTTTCCATCTTGTTTTTTGAGACAAAGTCTCTCACTGACAGGAAACTTGTCAAGGAGGCTAGGCTGGCTAGGCAGCAAATCCCAGGAATCTACCTCTCTCTGCCTCCCCAGAACTGGGACTATAAGTGTACATAATCATACCATATTTTCTCTTATGGGTACTGGAGACCAAACTCAGTTCCTTGTGTTAGTAAAACAAACACATTGTTGACTGAACCATCTCCCCATCCCAGGAGACGATTTTCCAAATGTGAAGGTTAATGGCCTCAGAGTTAGATCTCTACTAGATTGTCAAGAATGCATCTTCTTTTCTGAACTCTCTGTCTCCTAAGAGGATTGATTCCTCACAGTCCTCTGTAGTACTCAATGATGCTTACTGTGTGCCTGGATAGATATTTCTGTCTTCAACCCAACTAAGCTGAATACTCCTCAAAGATAGGAATTTAATATTTTCCTTCCTCCCTTTTCCCCCTTCTCCCTTCCCACCTCCTCCCTCCCTCCCTCCCTCCCTTCTTCCCTCCCTCCCTCTCTCCCTCCCTCTCTCAAGCACCTGCAGGTGTGTGGGAGCTAGGCCAGCAACACCCTTACACCCAGACACACCCAGACAGACTGCAGTGATACCATACACTCACAAGTGTGGCGCTCCATCCTTGAGACCTCCCATCCCCTCCCCCCTCCCTCCCTCCCTCTCTCCCTCCCTCCCTCCTTCCATCCTTTTCCTTCTTCTTCCTTTCATTTTTGAGACAAGGTCATCTCACTATGTAGCTCAGGCTGTCCATAAGTCATGATTCTCCAGCCTCTGCCTTTGGAGTGCTGAGATTACAGGTGTGTACCATCATGTCTGGCTAAGAATTTAATCTTAAACATTCCTATGTGCTCAGTATGTATTTTTTCCTGACGCATAGAGTTGCTCAGTTAACTTGATGATGCTCTATTCTGCCTTAGACTGTAACTGTGTCCATGTCTTTCCCTCTGCTCCACCCATGAGACTGTAGTCTATAGTATCTGCCACATAGTCAGATAGGAGCAAATTTTATTGGATTTAATTCTCTGTAGGGGTGGAAAGCGATAGGTTGTTTAAGGATAGTAGAGTGAAGATAGATTTGATTTATATACCAGCTTTAAGATAGGTGCTTGTCAGGTAATGAGCGTGCCTTTGCAAAAAAGACTATCTGTGAAAGTTGCGTTATGTATGTGCTCTTCCTCTGTAGGTCTTGACATCTCAGCTAAGAGGATGGCTAGATTAAATTTGTCAAGCTGCACGGTGATTCAAAGATGAATTTGTTCCTCTTGAGGTCATCCTTTCCCAGGTGAGTTCTTTTGAAGGACTGTATATAAAACCCTGTCTCATCATCACTAGACTTCTTTTCCTAGCTGAATTTTCAAATCCTTTCTTACCACCTCATCTGAGTAGTCTTCCTTGATTCCCTCACACTGCGCCATGGGTCATTCCTGTGTGTTGTGTAATACTTTCTTCCCTTCCCACCATCCTATAATAGTTCTTCCTATGCTACACTGTGGTTGTGAATAGTTTACTACCCTCATAGGACTGTGAACTGCTTGAGTAAAAAACTAGGAACTTATGTTGTATGTATCTCTGTATTTCTAAGGTCTAGTACAATTCCTGGCCTACAAGTTTTACTTGAAAATCTTGAATGAGGGGACTGGAGAGATAACTTAGCAGTTCAGAGCACCAGCTGCCTTTGCAGACGACCCAGCTTTGGTTCCCACGTGTACATGACTGCTAACAACCATATACAGCACCAGTTCTAGGGGATCTGATACTTTCTTCTGGCTTCTGCAGGCATTGATTGCCTGGGTGCACTTGCATACATGCAGATAAAACACTTCCACACATAAAATAAATACATGCAAATAGATAAATAATTAAGTAAATTTAAAAAGAGCTTCAATTAATGACCGAATGACTTTTTTGGGAACACAGCCTGAAAGGGACAACTATTTAGATCAACATGTTAAAGTATGAAACATCCTTTCATATTGCTTCCTGTCTCATCCCCGTGCCTACAAAGAAAGCACTTTCACTTTCACATTGATGTGAAAACAAAGAATCAAAGAGCTGCCAAATAATGGAGAGCAGGACTGTAAATGCTCATGTTTTCATCTGGACCCAGGGCAGGCATGGCATTGGATCCAAAGTTTATTTTCCAACTGCTTCAGTTGAATAAGTCGTAAATGTGTTAGACAGAAAATGGATTATTTCCTAAACTCACTGAAGCAGAGACCGAAAACATGTTGATTTTCTAAGTTGGCATAAGTCTGACCACAGGGAAGCCTCCCAACAACTGTTTCAGCTTATGATAATCAAGGCGAAAAACGACCATAGTGTATGTCAGTGAGCTTGCTTCATGTGTCAGGATAATTTCTCTAAGGATTCTAAATGCTTCTAAACCTGTGCTGGTCTCCAGAATTTGCTCCATGTAAAAGGGTAGAATTGATAACATATCCAAATAAATGAACAATCCTAGTTCACATGGTAAAAATAGGTGAAAAAAAAAACCTTTATTTTTCTCCATAAACGTTTCACCTCCATTTCACATGCTGATTATAGAAGCAGAATCCAAGAAATACCTCCTCGAGAAACAATAGCACTCCAGAAACTATTTGCTATTTTCCCAAATAAGCTTGGAATGGAATCGATAATTCTGATTGTCAGCAAGGCTGAATCCATCAGACAAAGAATAAAGGTAGTTAAGGAGTTTATCTGAAACTTACCTCTGAGAAGAGAGAGGGTTGCAGAATTACCTGGGTCCAAACAGACAATTCCTAGCAGTAGAATAAACTTGCCCTTACTTATAAGCATTTTGAGACTCAGAGTTTTCCCTTGAAATTGTAGAGAGACGGAAGGAAACAACGGTGGCAAACTTGGAAGAGCAGTGCTAATTCCATTGAAAACGAGCTTATTCATTAACCAAGTCTTGAGGCATTCAACCACGTCCATATAATGTTTCTCAATGTGGTTTCTTGTAAATGTCTTTTGCAAGAAGTGGGAAGTCAACTACAGAAACAAAGTCTTTGTTGAGCTCCATTATATATTCCATTCCACCTACGTCAGTTAGCTTCTTCCTCCAGAAGGCTTCTGGCTTAGCAGAGTGGTTGGCGTCAGAGGTTTTTTATTGCAATTGTTACTTGCTTTTGTAGGCTGCCACTTTCCACAGGAGGATTAAATATCAATGTTGTTCTTGTTTTCAAGGGTAGACATTCTTACCTGCTTGCAAGCAACCCATCAGAATATACTAAAACTTCCTTTCTGTTATTTTCCAATGGTAACTACCATGTGTTAGTGAGGGAGGAAAGAGGAAAGAATTGGGTAGCACTGTTAGTCAGGCGTGCTTCTAGACAGTCATTTAGGATGCAGTGCTCTGGGGTTTCTGTGAAGCATCATTTCCCACCATTTTTTTTTTGTGTGTATGTTTGTATTTCCAGAAGGTAAACAGTCTTCACTTCTACACCTGGTAGATGTCTGGACATGGGAAACTGGCTATGGTTCTGTCTATATTTTCATATTCCTGACTGAGTCCTTGGCACATAGTGTGTAAAAAGTGAATATTGATTGGCTAATGCTATTCATAACCACAGAGGTATATGAGATACTTCTGTGAACTTGTAGAAATTACATGCTCAAAATAGCAAATGGCAAACTTGAAGCCTTACTTCCTTATGATAAAACTTTTTTTCATACAAAATAAATCTATACAACCAAAACATAGAACTAATATAAATGCAAAACATTTTCAAACTCCTCAAATTTGTGGTTGCTGCATCCTTGGGAAATGTTTATGTAAAGAAAGAAAACCAAATTCTCCCTTTCCCATACTATTACATAATTTAAGTCATTGCCTGTTTCTCTACTTGCCTTTTATTTTCTCTTGTAGTACAGAAAGGTTTGGTCTACTTTAGTTTTTCTTTTTATTTCTTTTCTTTTTTGGTGGCGGGGGAGGCACACACCAGTCACTACCTTCCAAATTGGCACCAAAAAAAAAAAAAAGAAAAGAAAAATGGCAATTACATAATTTCTCTCTTCAACTAGCCTTCTATAAATGAATGCAAACTCCTTCCCCTTTTTCTGCCTGTAAGTTTTTTAAAATATTGTCTGAAACTTATTTTCTCCTCACTTTTCCTCTAGCATGCCTCTTCTGCTGACTCTTTCCCCCACCATTCCATGAGAATCTGATCTTCATGCGGACTACTGCCTGGTGAAAATAAAATTATTTGCCTAACTGATGTTATTTTGGCTCCCCCTGACTTCTCTTTTTTAGAACTGCTGTTTTCCAGTTGTTCTTAAATCCTGTGATCACAACTCTGGTAGCTAAAGCAACCTATGAGTCAAATGAGATTCCCTCCAATCTGTAAGCGACAGCAACTTCCTAGACAACAGTAAGACTCTGCAAGTTACCTAAATTTCCTAACTCTTGTCTCTGATTTTTCTTCCATGGTAACTCAAGGCTGCTTAGTGGCACCTCAAACACTGTCCTTAGACCTGGCTCCCTTCTCAGGGCGAACTTCAGTTCTCCTTACTGTCCACTATCAACCTTGGTGCCTGCTTGCTAGGACTCTTAGAATTAGGTTTCAGCTCTGTGACTCTAGTCACAGAGTTCTGGGTTTAACTATGTTTGTTGTAAACACACTGTTCTCTCCAGCCTCCCCTCTTCCACTTTCTCTAGTCCTGTGTGTGGAACAATTGCCTTGGAAGATGCTGATTGGATAAATCATTGCACCATTTTTCTAGTTTTGTTCCCTCATCCCTGGTCAGCTTACTTTTGCTCAGTTTTCTCTGTTTTCCATCTTCTGTGCCTACTGTTTATGTGAACACTCTCCCACTTTCTTAGCCCAGTGCTCATGAAATTCCTGGGCACAGTGCACTTACCACTCTGGAATTCTCCTAGTCCTACCCCAAGTGTTATAAGGTGAGAAAGGGGAAGTGCTCCTTTTCAATTTCCCTGTTACACCTCTCATTTCCAAATTATCTCTTCCTTTTTAAGACTGATTATTTTAAGTTAAAGGAGAAAGATTTATGTGAGTCAAAGAAAAACTAGAGTATTAAGATCCATTTTAATAGTGTCCTCATTCTCATTGTTTCTGATTATTATCAAGGCATTTTTGGATTGTCATTTATTATTTTACAATTAGGTCCCCAAGTCCCACCCTTTTTTCATCTTTAGTTTGAAGGGTGTCTTCTCATTGCAATAGGGAATAGACAAGCTGTTAACGAAGGGGGACTCAGTGGCTTCACCTAGAGATTGGATTAAATTGACATCTTGAGAACTTGCCTCCTATTCCTGCCCCAGAGCACATGGTAAGAGAGATATGCTAAATAAATAAACTCAGCAATGTTGGAAGACTGGAAAGGGGGATAATGCTTTTAGTAGCCCAATATTATGAATATTCCTTGAAGGATATGAAGTAGATGGAATCCAGTTAAAGGAAAGAAACTGTTAGGAGAAAACCGATGACAGAATTCTGCAGTGACAGAACTTTGGAGGCAGAAACAAAAAGGAGCAGGAGACAGTGTCAGGATAACGGACAGCACAATTATTTCGGGTGTCCTAGTTATAACAGGTATTTAACCCTCCCACTTCAACAAATTCCAAACTAGAACCAGTTGCATGTTTTACCCTAGGAGGAAGATGTGAGGGAATATTTGGACCCAAGGGATGACAGCTTTGCAGGTGGATGACAACATCTAGGAAGAGTGAGGAGCAGACAGACCCTGAAATCCAGCTTCTGGACTACACCTCACTGCACATTCTGCCCTTCTTGCAGTGGCAGTGGAGGTGGCTGAGGGAAATATTTAAGGTTTTTGCCTAAAGCTAATAAAAAATTAGAAGCACAGGTCTGCACAGACAATAGCTATTTCCTGAAGAGAAAACAATATGATAAAGATACCACAGACAATTATCAGGAGATGCAATGGTCAAAGAAAGTTTATACTCAAGATTTAGAATATAGGAAAGCACATTAATATACCAAAAAGACATGAGAACACATGACATACATAAAAATCATCTTGAGATTCTAGAAGACAAACCTTTTTGGAAATATAAAGGATAAATTTTGAACAGATGGGTTCAGACTCAAAACAGATCCAGGAAGCTCTCTATTAGGGAATCAGGAAGGAGAGATAAGGACTGTGCAGAAGAGGCTCTAAAGGTCAAAGAGATGGAAAAGCATTAAAAAGAAATAGATCAGGAATCTAGACCAAGAAGTCCCACAGTGTATGTGAAGTCTCGAGAGAGTAAGAACGAACTTTGGAGTAGAAGTGGAGAGGCTGCACCAAGAACAACGGGAGGAAGAGTGATAAGAGAGTTATACCTGAATTTATGTAACAACTATTCAAAAACAAAGGTGACCCAAAATTTCCATAAAGCAGCAATTTTCTATAGAGGCACAGAATGTCAATGCTAGATTATTTTCATTAGCAATGGCAGATGCAGAAAGATCAGGAGGCAACTCTTTTAAGCTGGGAAGTAGGGACTAGTATATCAAGTAGCACGTGAGCCAAGAAGGAAGGAAAGCAAAGCCATTTTTATATCACGGACAGACTCAAAGTTTGCTGCTCATAAGGCTTACTATTCTGGATGAGAAGGGCACCTAAGAAGGTGTGCATGAAACATAAGAAAAGAGAGTGAATAAAAAACTAATTTATCATCACTGGAGAGATGGCTTAGTGGTTAAGAGCACTGGCTGCTCTTGCAGAGGATCTGGGTTTGAATCCCAGCACCCACATGGTAGCTAACAGCCATCTATAACTCCACTTCCAGGGGAATTTGATACCATCTTCTGACCTCCACAGGCATTGCATGACATGGATGCACTTACACACATGCAGGTAATACATTGTCTCTCTCTCTCTCACACACACACACACACAGACACAGACACACAGACACACACACACACAGACACACACACAAGAAAAAAACCAAAAACCAAGTAATTTATTAACCCCAATAATTGTTCATTAACAATAATAACCAATTTTTTATTCTTTAACAAGCAAGCTGGTGAGTGGTAACAGTAGGTCAGGAAGTAGAGAAAGATGTGCTTGGATTCCTGCCAAACTCCATGGCAGGGTTTAGGAACAAATTATAAACTAAGCACAAAGGGGATTAATACATATATGGAGTTATCTAAAAATAGTTTAATAAAAATAACTTTGGAACAATACATAATACTAGTGTCACTTAGACAACACATAGTAATTAGAAACAGGGAAAAACATTCTTGACTTATTTAGGAGGGGACATTGGGATAGAGATAATGATGGGGTTGGGAAGCTGTCTTCGATATCTTCAATAATGATTGACACAATGATGAGTGCAGGACTAAAAGCTATGTATGGCAAGTGAGAAGTGGCAAAACAGCTAAAATGTGGGAAGGGGATGGGCAGGTGGCTTGGGGAGTAGAGCACTCGCTGTGTGCGGTGGTTTGTATGAGAATGTTCTTCATGGTTTCAAGTATTTGAACGCTTTGTCCACAATTGGTGGTGCTGTTTGGGAGGTCTTGGTATCTTTACGAGGTGCAGCCTTGCTGGAGAAAGTGTCACTGGGGACGGGCTTTGAGAATTCCCAGCCTTGCTCACTTTCAGTTTGCTCTCTCTGCTTCATGTTTGTGATTCAAATGGTAAGCTCTCAGCTTTGGATCCTGACACCATGCTTGCCCCTTTCTGGCATGCCTCCCTGCCATGATGGGACTCTTATCCCTCTGGAACTGTAAACCAAAATAACCTATTTCTTCTATAAGTTGCTTTGGTCATGGTATATTTATCACAGCAAAAGAAAAGTCACTAATATACTGTGCAATCGTGAGTGCCAGAGTCCGGATCCTCAGAACCCATGTAAAATATGGTGGTCTACCTGTAATCCCAGTGCCCTGAAGCATAGACAGAGGATCCATGTGGCAAACTGGCTAGTCAGATTGGCTGAGATGGTGAGCTCTGGGTCCAGAGAGACCCTGCCTCAATAAGTAAAGTTTACAATGATACAGA